CGGTGGCACCCCGCTCCTGGGCACCCCGACGCCTGGGGCTGCCCTGCCCCGCAAGGAGGGGGGCGCGCCAGGGGGCGGCCGGAGGAAGCGCGTGGAGTTCGTCACCTTCGCGCCCCCACGGGCGCCCGAGGAGCCCCCCCTGCCCGCCCCCAACGTCCAGTCCATCCTGGTGGCCAGCGAGGACGACATCCGCTGGGTGTGCGAGGACATGGGGCTCCGGGACCCCGAGGAGCTCAGGAGCTACATGGAGAGGATCCGGGGCAGCTCCTGACCTGGAGGGGCTGTCACCAGCCCCCCAGCCGGCGCCAAGCCGGGCAAACCAGTAAGGGACCAACCTCCTCCTCCCCACACCTCCCTGCCACTCTCCAGGGGGAGGTGTACCTGCCCCACTTCCTCTGCTTGCGGCAGGCCGTGCCGCTCTGGAGGGCCCATCCCCATCCGCTCCCCGGCCAGCATGGTGGCTGAAGCCCTGCACCACCAGGGTCGCTGGAGAGACTGGCCCCAGATGCCTGCGGCTCTATGGGAGAGGCATCGCCATTAGGGACCAGCTCGCACAGCCGTTGCCTCCCATCTCAGAGCGTCTGCTCCTCTCCCTGTGGTCCACGGCAGCTCCCCAGGCCCACTTCGCCAGGAGGTTCACCACCGCAGCCATGCACCCAGGTGTCCTGCTGGTCGCCTTGGCCTTGGAGGGTATTGTCGTCACTGGAAGCTGCCCCGGGAGGGGGAATTGCGCGGAGGAAGCCTCGGTCCTCTTACTGCTTTGGGTCTCATTGCGATGTCGTGTTCATAGTGATGATGAGTCCTGTGATCTGATCCCGGGGACCGTCCTGTGTCCCCCTGCCTCATCCCCAGCCCTGTCCCCCCGCAGCAAGGAGGGGGTTGGGGGTGCGAGCCCGTCCCCACCTTCACCCTGGCCATGCATCCATTTTGTATGATTGGCATTTTATACCTGTAGCATTGTGGGAAGGGGCTGCCACGAGGGGTCTGTTATTTATGGAAGATTTTTAATTCTGACATTGTTACAAAAATAAAATATTTAAAAAAGCTGACCCGTCCCCTCCTCCCTGTGCCATGGCGTGTCTGTTCCTGCTGGGAAGGGAAGGGGACCGGAGAGCTGGGTGTCTGCAAGGCCACCTCCTGCCACAGCCCCCATCTCGCCGTGGCTGGCATGCGGGGGTGGAGGGGGGGGGATAAAGATGCAATTCCTCCACCTGAAAGGGCCTTTTCACCATGGAGAAGCTGCCCAAACAAGCCCCAGACGAGCTGAAGGAGCAGAGCCATGGCAGGGAAGTACATCAGGGAGTGCCTGCAAGAGCCATGCTGGGTCCGTGGTGGAGGAAGGAGCAGGCAGGTGGCTCTCGGAGGGCTTGAACCGACAGCAGAGGATGCAAGGAGGGGCTGCGACCGGGAGTGATACAGGCTCCGAGGGGAGGGCTGGCTCTGCCAGGCACAGCCCAGCCTGCTGAGGCTCTGTGGGGCTATTGAAGGGGCTGTGGGGCCTGGGGTGGGCTGTTTGCATTGGGCTTAGCGTGGGAGGGAGAGGAAGGCAGAGCTGGTCACGGGAAGGGCTTTGGGCTCCGTTCCTGGCTCTGGCACAGCCAGGGTGACCTTGGCGCGATGGCCTGGTTGGCACACGGACAAGTCTGGCTGCGCTGCTCTGCTCTGCTCTGCCTGGCGAGGAAATGGGCACCCCAGGAGGTTGTGGCCATGTGGGGAAGGGAGTCCCTCCCCTCCCCATCATGCCATACAGAATGGACGCCTACCTTCCTCTTCCTTGGCCCATCCAGACCTAACTCACATAGGACCAGGAACATCCCTGGTCTTGCCTGGTGCCTGCCACAGGCAGGCCCCTCCAGCTGGAGCAACAGGCCCACAAACACCTCAGACACCCCTCTTCCACCTACCTGAACTCTGGTGAACCATCTCCCCTACCACATAGTCCCGCAGGAAGGTTTACTGGTGAAATCCAGCAGGTTTAGGGGTACATGTCCACACCAGTCCCTTTATTCAGGGATGCCGTATGGATTTCTCTCTCTCTCGGACCCCTTCCAACTTGTTCCGGTGGTCCTGAGATATCCCCAGTTTCCCACAGATATCCCTAGCAGGATCATGCCAGGAGAACACAAGGGAAAGCTCCCCTGCCCCAGCCTTCCTCATCACCCTGTTCCTTGCAGGCTCTCCTCAGGCTGGACCAGCTCAGGGCTGCATCACCAAGCAGGGATGCAGTAAATCATCCCAACCGTACGTCTGGTTCCCTCTCACAGCAGGCTGTGAGCCATCCCTGCTGCTCCCCGGAAACCCAGGGAGAGTAGGGTCCTAGGGCTGCAGAAAGGGAGTGAGCAGGGGTCTTTGTCACAGCTCTGGCTGTCACCAGGACGTGTTCCACCTGTCCTGGTGGGACTGAGGCCAGCATCCTGTCTCTGAATTGATGTGGGAATGGGGACAAGGCCTGGGTCACCTCTCATGGTGTCAGTCTTCCTCCTGCTCCATGCAATGGTGGCAAGTGCTGGGCTGCCGTGGCTGTTTTTCATAGTGCATGGAGATCCAAGCAAAGAGGAGGCAGGTGACTGACTGGATGCCCGCCAGCAGGAAGAAGTAATAGTCCATGCGGCAGTTGTTAATATTCCCTGCGAGCAGGAGGACAGTCAGAGCCCAGGGGAGCCCTATGGACACCCCTGTGCTGCTCTGCACCCCATCCCCACTCTGCTGGCCACAAAGGTGGCTTAAATGCACAGGAAAAATGGCCTTACAAGGGTATGCAGAACGTGAGACCCAACCTAGAACCCCCACCCCGGTGCCACTGTTCCCCTGGCTCACGGGGCCATGTCACCTCCTGCTAGCCAGCAGGGCTCCCAGCCTGTGCTCACCATAGTCCTCTGGGCAGTGCATCCACCCATGGGAAGGCAGTGAGAGGAGGGTCAAAAGTCCAGAGCCCAGGAGCGAGCCCACCCCAGAGATGAAGAAGAAGAGACCCATGATGGCTCCTTTCATGGACTTGGGGGCCTCAGAGTAGGCAAACTCAAGGCCTGCGAGAAAGCAGACAGAGCACATGGTACTGATGGCAGGGCAAGGCCTTGAATCCTTCGATGGGGTCTGCCATCTGCCCACCAAACAACCTTGCCGCTGCTGAAGTCTGCAGAGTGCAAGTTGCTGCTTGGCGGGGTGCACACAGACGGGTGCCCTGGGGCTGTGCGGGGCAAGGACGGGAGGGCACCACTTACCCGGGATGCTGGCAAACAGCTCACTGATGCCGATGAGCAGGTACTGGGGGATCTGCCACCAGATAGGCAGCGAGGCGGCCAGGTAACTGTCCTTGCCAATGCGCTGTGAGACAGTCTGGTTGCGATGCACATACTGCAGCCGCTCCCTCTCCAGGACACCTGAGGGAGATAGGTGGTGAGGACAGATGGAGCACCTGCCTGTTACAGGCTTCCACCCGAGGGTGATCAGGCTGGGACCTTACCTGCTGTGAGGATGGAGGCGAGGCCAAAGAACATGCCCAGGGACATCCGCTTGAGCGCTGATGGCAGCAGCTTCCGCCTCACCAGGAAGGGGTCAATGACACGGTCTTTCAGTGGCACCAAAGCCAGTAAGACCACTACATTGGCCAGCAGGAGCCAGGCATCTGGGAACTGCAGGTAGACACAGGTGGAGATCCAGCAGTTGTTCTCAGGAAGGAGCTCAGCATGCCTGGGGATGCCCCTGGCTCCTGACCTGGCCCTCACCCAGCGTGTCTGCAAGCTCCCAGCCCCATCCCTCACCATGTAGTTGTGGGTGGTGCTGGCATGGGTCTGGCCATGCTGGAAGATGCTAGGGATGTGGAGGTGCAGGCCCTGCAGGTAATAGGTCGACTGCATCTAAAAGACACAATGAAGTTTGCTCTGTTGACTCAGTGGCGAGGGGAGAAAAGCCAGCTCCTGAACAGACCCACCATCCTGTCTGCTCCCAGTCTTTCCTCCAGTCAGTGTGAAGCATCTTCTTCTTAAACTGCTCCAAAGCTGCTTGAAAAAACAGGAACTCTAAAAGCCTCCAGCAGAGCTGAATGTACAGCTCCGGGCATTAGGTGGCATGTGGCATGGGCTCCCAGCCCAAACTCGTGTCTTGGGACTACCACGTTCCTCGTGCCCCAAGATACCCATGAGCACCCTGGTCCTCCACTCCCTCCACTCCCTGCAGGCTGTTTCCCTTGAGTGATTGCTGAGTACTGCCTATCCACCAAGGTCCTGCCTGCAGAGCAGTCCTGCTATTAAACCTGTCCCTGGGCCCATCCTTCTCATAGCTATCACCCTACTTGTCTGGGGGAACTCAGCGTCTCCAGAAGGCCCCTCTGCAGAGGAGACTGGCCAGGGCTAGGATTTTGGACCCATCTTGGCCCTTGCCTAGCCTTCCCAACTGCCTGGCATAGAGGTCCCCCATCACACCTCACCTGGAAGTAGACCATCCAGTAAGGGATTAAAGTCAGCATCATGGGCAGGATCTTGGCCATCACCTGGAAGTTGGCAAGGTCCTCCTCATGTGTTGGAGCCCCGGGCTGTGGTCTGCTGTTGGGGAAAGGCTCCCTGGCCCCAGCCTGTGACCAGCGAGTGCTCAGCCTAGGAGAGAAGGACAGCATAAGAAGGGCCAGGCATGGGATGTCTCAGCTCTCAGCAGATCCCCCAACCCTGTCTCACCTGGTCCTGGTGCCCCCCAGCCAGGTGCAGCCGCAGCTTTGCAAGGCCAGTTTGATCATGATAGAGACTTGGCTGCCCGTGGGGGGCTTGGTAACAAAGGTGGGGGTGGCCAGGAGGAAGATGAGGAGGGCCAAGGCCAGGCAGGCAACAGGGATAAGGTAGCCGGCCAGAAAGCTGATGTTCTGCTGGACGAAGGCCACCACCAGGAGGGAGAAGACAGCCCCGATGTTGATGCTCCAGTAGAACCAGTTGAAGAAGCGCCGTGTGGTGTCCTCACCCCGGTCAGTCACCTGCCAGAGCAAGGGAAGGCAATGTGGAGGAATGAGCCCCATAAACCAGCTCAGCACTGGCGGTGCCTGAGCAGAGACAAACCTCAGCCCTGAACCCAGGGTTTCCATCTCATCCCCTGTCCTACCACCCCCCCCCCTCCCCGCCATGCCAGGGAAGGCAATGTGGAGGAATGAGCCCCATAAACCAGCTCAGCACTGGCGGTGCCTGAGCAGAGACAAACCTCAGCCCTGAACCCAGGGTTTCCATCTCATCCCCTGTCCTACCACCCCCCCCCCATCTCTGCCATGCCCCAACCCTCCTCCACAGCCCCCTCTCACCACCTCCTGCTTCTCTTCACCCCTCACCTTCCAGCTTTCCACTCCTTCCAGTGCCCCACTTCCCCCAGCAGGGCTCCCACAAAGGGCCTGGAAGAATTTGCAGGTGATCTATGGGGACAAAACCATCCTGGGAACCAGCATGTCTGATCCTCCCCATAGCCTTTCTTCCTGGGTTGTGAGGAGACTATCCCCTTGGCTTTGCAGTAGAGAAACAGAAACTGGCAGGTCCATTGCACATCAGCACAAGTACCCAGAGCTGGAGGCCAGAGGCATGGCCAGAGGGAGGAGGCCAGAGGGAGGAGGACATGGCAGAAAGGCCCACTTACCTGGTCAGCGCCGAAAGAGGTGAGGTTGGCCCTGACAGAGCTGACACCCAGAGCCAAGAGCAGGAGGCCAGAGTAGACCACGGGGGCACAGTACTGGTACTGGGGCTGCCCTGGGCACATCCCAGTGTCATTCACGGAGCAATTTTGGATGGAGTAGGAGGACATCTGCCCACACAGGGAGAGGCGCCCATCAAGTGAGGCCATGGTGGGCAGCAGGCAAGCTGCCAGGAGGTACAGCAAGAAGCTCAGGGCCACAGTGCCGTAGCGGCCCAGGTAGACATCCGCCAGCCAGCCGCCGATGGGCGAGAGCAGGTAGGATGCCCCCAGGAAGAGCAGGGAGGCGCGGGACGCCTGGGTCCCGCCCCAGTTGAAGGTGCTGCTGTTGAGGTAGAGCACCAAGTTGGCGACAATGCCGAAGAAGGCCGCCCGCTCCAGGCACTCCACCA